GTGGAGAAAGGAATGCAATAATGATTTTATCAATATTCGTTTTTAGAGATTTCAACTTCAGAGAGCTGCTATTTGAAGTTCTCAACTTAAATGCGAATATTGGTAAAATCATTATTGCATTCGTTTGTCCACTGTTTGTCCACGTTTGTCCAACCATTATTTTCGTTTGTCCACCCTATGTTTATTATATTTTTCGTAATAGTGTAAAATAATCTCTTGGGGGTTTACAATTTTTTTTTGTATTACTTTTTTTTGGAGGGTGGACAAACGAAAATAATGGGTGGACAAACGTGGACAAACAGTGGACAAACGAATGCAATAATGATTTGACCAATATTCGCATTTAAGGTGCCAACTTCACAAAGCAGCTCTGTAAATTTGGAATCTGTATAAATGCGAATATTGGTAATATTATTATTACATTCGTTTGTCCACTGTTTGTCCACGTTTGTCCACCCGTTATTTTCATTGGACCACCCTCCAAAAACAAGTTATGCACAAAAAAAATTGTAACACCCCCAAGTGATTATTTTACACTATTACGAAAAATATAATTAACGTAGGGTGGACAAACGAAAATAATGGGTGGACAAACGTGGACGAACAGTGGACAAACGAATGCAATAATGATTTTACCAATATTCGCATTTAAGGTGCAAACTTCACAAAGCAGCTCTGTAAAGTTGGAATCTGTAAATGCGAATATTGGTGATATTATTATTTCTTTCGTTTGTCCACTGTTTGTCCACGTTTGTCCACCCGTTATTTTCATTGGACCACCCTTCAAAAGAAAGTTATACACATAAAAAGTTGTAACACCCACAAGTCATTATTTTACAATATTACGAATAATATAATAAACATAGGGTGGTCAAACGAAAATAATGGGTGGAGAAACGTGGACAAACAGTGGACAAACGAATGCATAATGATTTTACCAATATTCGCATTTAAGGTGCCAACTTCACAAAGCAGCTCTGTAATGTTGAAATCTCTAAATGCGAATTAATTGCCGGGATGTATATATAACTTATTTAAAATATAAACACGCGCGATATATTTTAACATATTTGTAATAGAAATGGGTGTAATATACATCTTTAATGTTAATACTTTTAAGCTTAATAATAAACATCACGCCTATGGAAGTAAGCATACATATAGTTGCAGGGAGAAATATTTATTCTGATCCACATTTTATGTAGCGCGAATACGATTATACGAACCGCGAATATCTACTTACCATCAGTCTTGAAAAGTATATTCGTTATCCTCAGAATAGTGGATCTTGCATGTAGTTCACATCCACTTCTTCAGTGGGCAGTAGTGCGCGGCAGTATTTTGTGGTTACAGGTTTTAGGTCGTCATGTCCTCTCTCAGGTTTCTCTCTGGTTTGGCCAAGCGGACCAAAGATGGCGGATAGAAGGAGATAACAGATATTGCTTTCTTTCTCGTATTACGCTATGTGTCTCTTTCTATTTTCCGAACTCGTTTTCCGACAATGTATGTACACCCACGGTAATTAATTCTGTCCCTCGGAAATTTTCACAAAATGAAAAGTGACCTCCTTTCTATATTAATTGTCACTATTCATGCACGATAAGGTTCAGTCGTAACGTTAATCGTGCATGGATTGTGACAATTAATATAGAAAGGTGGTCATTTTTTATTTTGTGAAATTTTCCGAGGGACAGAATTAATTACCGTGGGTGTACAAAGCTATCCGAAGAATGCCGAATGGACCAAGGTAGAGAACCAATCAGAAGTTGAGTCCGTCTATCTCTCTTTCGCCTGTTACTTTTCTCTCTCAAGTTTTCCTACGCCATCTACCGCAATACATAGAGCGCGTTCAGAGGACTCAACAATTGAGTGAACGCTCGCTATTATTGGTGCATTCTTTTAGATCATCTAATCAGAATTTTATATCTAGAAGAATACACCAATAACAGCGGGCGCTCACTCAACTGTTGAATCGGCTGAACGCGCCCATACTGTAACATATACTTGATCACAGTATAGGTAAGTACAGTAGTTTCACTCTCCAAAATTTATGGGTGCGCGAATCGCACCACTTTCATCATGGTGTCGATGTCACGTATGGATACTGTGTCACTGTGTGTCACTGTGGTGTCGATGTGTGCAGTGAAAACGAAGCCCTCGCACAACCAACAACATGGCTGACTGTAGGACACATAGATCAAAGGTACCGACACGGAGTGAAAACTACTGTACTTACTTATACTGTGACTTGATTGATACACAATTCTCGTGCTGTTTTGCTGTTTACTATCGTTGGAATATCTTTTTTGTTAGACCTTAGGTGACAATTTCGTAAGAGTACAGGGAGGCAGGAGCCATTAATTAAGAAGAAGAAGAAGACAATTTCGCAAGCTTAGTTTCTTAAATAAACTAACCAAACAAAAATGTCGAAATTTCGTACGTTTCGAGACTTACAGGTCCTTCAGCGATTCTTAACAGATGTTTGCGTCATTGGACAGATATGTATTCGTATAACGTTACAGACATGCTGATATATTCTAATTCGGATTGATATTCCTGTTCTCAATGTGAGTGTATTGTAAAGGCATGTGAGACAGGACCATCATTATAAGTTCGTCCGATCGAGTTCAACGCAGATGTTACAATCAAATTATATATTTATGTTTCTTAATAAGTATCATAATTTTTTAAATATAATTTTTTAACTTTATATAATTTAATTTTTTCTCTTTTTTAAAAATATATCTCTATAATAATTTGCTTATTCAAATAATTTAAAGTTTAAACTTTTTATTTAAAATTTTAAAGCATGTTATACTTACGCCGTTCCACGCCGCCGCCGTCAATAAATTATCATCCGTCGGTTCCGCCGCCGCCAACTTTGAAATTTTCGCCGAACGCCGCCGCCGCCGAGTTATTTTACCGCCGATAAAAAATAAAACGGCGCAGGGGTCTATATGGTACAAATAACATAAAGTATAAAGCGGGGAGCACAGACTTTTGCATAACGCATAAAGCATGTGCATAAGGAACTTCATTGGTCCATTTTCTTATGCATGAGTCAATGGACCAATCAAATTCTTTATGTATATGGTTTATGCGTTATGCAAAAGTCTGTGCTCCCCGCTTAATTCTGAAATTTATATTCACAAATGTGTTTTTATATGTATTGTTAGAATTACATTTTATTCATGTATATACATACACACATTCATTATAATATATAATATAAATAAAATTCTAAATATTGCTTGTAGACAATATGTATGTACATGAATGTTCAGTACGAGTCTTTTATGTCTGTGTATTTACTTTTCTGTTGTGTTTATATTGTCTACAAATGTATATATTATAATATCATATACATATATGCAGAATATTGAATATAAATACACACATATATACAGGGTGTCCCATTTTAATCGACGGATCCAAATATCTCCTAAAATACGCTAGCTATAAAAAAATGTTTCAAATAAAAATGTAATGGTGTCGAGGGGGACACGTTTTAGTCACATTGTTTTTTTTCTAAGTGGAGGTGCTAAAAAGATATGAAGGTCACCTCCACTTTTTTAAATGGAATTATGTAATTTTTTTTAGATAACGTGAATCCTCTATTTTGCATATAAAAGTATTAAGGTAGAGATACCAAAAAACCAATAGTTTTCGAGATATTTTACACTTTATTTTGGTACATTTTGACACAAAATGTTAAATAACTCGTAAACTGTTGACTTTTTGATTATCGTACCTTAATACTTTTGTGAACAGAATAATAAGATAAATCAAATGGTATCTCGACTTCCATGATTGTACTGTTGCCATAGTATATACAGTAGCGCAACTCTCGGATTTTCGCGTGTACGAAATGGAACTGCACATGCGCGAGCTATGGGTGTAACCAATAACGTAACAGAATCTTTCTGTCGCACTTGCTCTGTTTGCTTTTCTATAGTGTTTTCTGTCGTTGAAATGCCCCAACGGCCAAAATTGGCGGTAAATGTGATAAAAGTGAATTCAAGGCGATTTAAAGTAAAAAGTCAGAGCAGTGTTATTGTTAAATATAAGACGTGTTAAAGAAAGTGAATAGAAAAGTGTTTTGTGTTTAATGTTTAGTGAATATAGTGCTAAGTGAAAAGTGAAAGTTAACCAAGAACGATTATTTTTTCTGTACAGAATAGTTAATCTGTATAGATTTTACAGATTTTCAATTCTTTTACAGAAAACTGCACTTTTGATCTTAGCTTTGTTGCAGGTGCTGCTTCTTAGAAGATAAAAAAAATATATATATATAAGAT